TGGTATCTACATATTATTCATCGATTGTCAATAAATCATCACCAAAGCCTCTCAAATACTGTCATATTTCAATTGGACTCTCTTAGCATATCTAACCGTCGATTCTGTTTAAATTTTAGGGAGATTCTACAGTCCCGTTATGGAACTATTCCGTCGGGATTGGTAACCTTTAGATCAACTATCCACGACAGCTACATTATGATCTAACGGTTACAAATCCCGACCGAATGATTCCGTAACAGGATTGTAGCATTTCCCTAAATTTTATATTTCCAAAACGGTTATTTCACGAAGTTTCAAATGTCATCTTTAGAGAAAATATTGAAAATGGCCTTAACGTCCCATAGATTGCACCAATGCAGTCCTACACCAGAAAATTGACGAAAAATAGTTGAGTTTAACAACTGTAAATTGTTTTTCGTTGCATAAAAGATTTGTTAATTCATCAATTATACTAAATATTATAAGGAGAAGTGATCATATGAGAATGAGGATAATGAAATAAGTAAGAATGATTCTGGATCATTTGATCCAACATATTAATGGCCATGATCAAGTCAAAATATGGTCAATCATTAATGGCAATATAGTAATTTAACATATATTGTAGTCAAATGTACATATTTGACTACTAATTAAGGGTAAAGTTGTCATTACACAAACCACACACCAAACATGTCAATGCCAACTCATAGTGGGTCCCACCCCCATTAATCTAACCTAATCACACTTTATCTCTATCTCACACACACCCAGACACACACTAAACGCATACACCCACACAAACACACACACACACACACACAATTTGCATCCAAGATCCGGCAGCCGTCCGCCACCCCGCCGCCCGCCGATGCAAGCTTCCCGACGCCGTCTGCAATATGACCCGTTCCTCCATCTCATCGGAGACTTGCCGGCCAGGTGGAGTTTCTAAAACTCCGGCGAGAATCAATGGGACAAGACGTCCAAGCCATACGTCGTTGTTCACGGCCACCGAAATACGCCACGAGTCGCCGCTTCGGACGCCGCCGAGATGGCCACTGAGTGTCGTGTATGACTCGTTCCTCAATCTCGTCGGATTTCTGAAACTCCGACGAGAATCAACCGGAGAAGACGTCCAAGCTATACGTCGCTGCTCACAGCCACCGAAATACGCCACGAGCCACCGCTTCGGACGCCGCTGAGATGGCCACTGGAGGAGAGCCGACGGTCGACTGACAGCATGACCATCACGGCGAGAGCATCCAGATCGACGGGAGAGGTCCGGCACCAAGCGGCAGTGACAGTGACGGAGGATGGAGATTGTTCGGGATAGGGACTTATTTTAGAAAATTAGACAATTTTCAAGTACCTTTATGCAATTTCATAAACTTTAGTATATTGAATTTTAATACTCATGGAAATTTTGTAATTTAGTAAAAGTCAAACACATGAACATTAATGACATATACAATGCACAAAACTATGTGATAAAATGCACAATAAATTTATAATTTTAGTTTGTTTGGGTTTGGTCGAATCTTGTGCAATATTAAAGTCATTAATGTGCAACTCGTAATACGGTAATGTGCAATCGCATTGCAGTAATTTTTAATGACTTGTCCAAAACAATTTAAAACACGACCCAAATAATTGGTTTAGTAGTACGATTAACCAAATTAATCTAAATCAGTAAAACAATTTATAAATTATATCATAAAAATATATTTAGTGTTTTAATATTTTTTTATAATTCTTTTTTTGTTGAAAATTTATAATATAAATATAGACAATATTATTTTTTATGTACGTCAGTCGGTTGATTATTAAAAAAAAACTGAAATCGAATCGAAATACCCCATTTTTTTAAAGTAAAGAACGAACACCGAACCAACATATATAAACCGTATAAAATATCATATATATATATATATATATATATATATATATATTATACATTATTATTATATAAAGTGCAACATGACGATGTATAAAATAAAAATACTGTAAGTTTGGTATGTTAACATAATTGTTTGTTTTTTAGAACATATGATGTGATGTATGATAAAATATTATGTTGATATGTTTCGTAGATTTATGTTGTTTTGTATTTTGGCGGGAAATATTAACGTCAATTGTGGAGTGCGTTGATAAAGTGTAGCTTGTTGTTTTTATAAAGTGCAACATCTTGTTTTATAAAGTACAAAAGTGTTTTTCTATAAAGTGAAATATTTTATAAGATCATATATAAATTATGTGCATTCAAAAACTATTATTTACTAGATATAATTGTACAAATAATTATTAAATAATTTAAATATTTTATGAGATATTATTATTATATAATTTGTTTATTATTATAAATTATTTTGTATTTTGTTTACATTTTATATTACTTTTTATTTAATAATTTATTTATTATTTAATATATGTGTATTACAAAAAACATAAAAAAAATTGCATATATATTTAACATGATTATTTATTAACATATATTTTTTAAATTTTGTATAAATTACACATTTGGTATATGTACCAAATTTAAATATAACCAAAGTTCACTAAATTGCAATCAGGCCCTTAAAAATCAATTGATGTTGACAGCCCTAACCCCCAAATTGGTCATCTTCCCCAGCCCTTAAAAATCAATTAATGGTCACAGCCAACAAATCGGTCATCTTCCCCAGCACCCCACCGTCGCCGTTCAGTCATCTCCGGCCGAGATAACTGACCTCGATGTTTTTAGCGGCCTCCGTCGTTTCTCGTGTAGCTTCTCCCGCCTTGACCCGATCTCCGGCGCCACCTTCCAGCGGGAGTGGGTGAAATCGGCCGTCGGTTGATATGAATGGAAAACGACGGCAGTGGAGCTCCGAACGATGGACCAACAGCGGCGAAGTGTGCGCGTGACTGCGAGCTCCGCGACGGCTGAAGAAGATATCCCGACGACGTACGGCAACCGGTGCCGGAAGTCCGAGATTCGCGGCTGAGGTTGATGGCGGCAGCGGATCGGACCTCCATCTCGTACAGTGGCGCGGCGTCCTGGCGGAGGTGTTGTAACACTTAAGCTGTCGGTCAGGCTCAGAGCATCTCCAATGCTATAGTTTTGAAAGACAATGATTTTTAACACATGTCAATCAATGATTGTAATGTTAATCCATTTAGGAATAATGTTAAAAGAGTAGAAATTTGAATCAAACTAGTATCTCCAATGCATCAATTTGGTAAGAAGTTATTTGTATAGGTGGACCAATTAAAATAATCATTAATACAAGAACAATAAAAAATTAAATCAAATATAAAGTGAATTGATTAGTCATCATGTTTAACATGGTGTTAGGTATTAGAAAGTGTGCTCAACATTGTCAACATTAAATGTTATCCACCTCATCATGAAAGAGCTCATGACAATGCATTGGAGAACAAATTAGTAACACACTTTTAAAAGTTGATGATATGGATGAATTTTTATAATGTCAAAAGCTACATTGGAGATGCTCTCAACGTGGCCGGAAAATCGGGCGGATTTGGTGGACTCTTCGGTTGTGTGTGTGTATGTATTTTGTGTGTGTTTGCTGTGTGTAATACGTGTGTTGACTGAAATTAATGTGTGTGTGCATATTAGTGTGTGAGAGAGAGGGGGTGGGTAGGATATTTGATGTGTTTTTGTCACGTGGCACAAATTAATTGGGTGGAGCTGATGTGTTAGTTGACAAAATTTAATTTAAGATATTAAAATCTATATCTATATCTATATATATATAAAGAGGTTGTTGGAAAAATACATTAATAGAAAGTTTGACCAAATAAATATAATGTTTGACTTACTATTAATGAAAATTTCGAAAAAACACATGTAAATCTTTAGAAACAAAATCTGAATCCTATTTTTCGGTAACAAATTTGGAGATTCTTATGACAAAATTTGAATCCCATTTTTTTCATATCATATTCTATTTTTTTACCAAAATTTAAATCATATCTTTTTTGGTAACAAATTTAGAGATTCTTATGCAAAAAATGTGTCAATTATTTATGAAAACAATTCTAAATATAAATCAATTTAAGAACTGTGCAAATTGGATACAAATTTACGAAACAAATAGTTGTATAATTTCTAACCAATTCTTCCAATTTTAATGAATAATTTTTATTTCAAAAAAAGTGTGTAGATTGGTTAAAACCACGTGCAATTTTTATTTTAAAATAAAACTGATATTTGGACGGGATGTACATTCAAAATTGTGCCCACATTTTTTGGTAACAAAAGCGGTTCATCTTTTAAAATAATTAATGCACACTATATTTAGAAAATTTTAGATATTTTAAATCATAAAATAGGATAGCGTTAAATGCC